GACATACTCACGCTATGTGCACCCAACAAACATCGGTGGATTCTGTCGTTTTTTTTTGCAAAAATGATGGAAAATATGCCCTTTCCGCACTGAGCCAACCTGACACTTGAAATTTGCACGCGCGCAGAATGATCGCAGTCATTTTTGGTCCGATCGCTCGGAGCGCGCCGCGGGGGGTATGGTGTAGGAGCGGAACGATAGTATGCGCATGCGTACAAGTGCGAGTACGTACCCCCCGCGGCGCGCTCCGGGCTAGCTAGCTATCGAACCCGAATATGACTGCGATCATTTTGCGCGCGTGCAAATTTCAAGTGTCAGGTTGGCTCAGTGCGGAAAAGGCATATTTTCCATCATTTTGCCGAAAAACCGACAGAATCCACCGATGTTTGTTGGTGCACATAACGTGAGAATGTCATGAGGTATTGTACGGAGTTTAGGGGCAAACTGTGCAGCGGTACTGTGGGAAACGGCTTGGTTGGGATGGACGTTTTTGTACTTAATTAGTGTTTTGTGCCGACAACAATTTTGCGGGGTTCTGAACCTATGGGGCTCCACTACGTGGAGCCTCATAGTTCTAGGAGTATGTACCATGCTGAATGCGCTAATATATAGCTGGGTGCTGGCGGTCGTCGCGAAAGACCCGTCATCGTGTGCATTTTGATCACACATGCAGCATCAGAAATACGGGATTTTTGTCAAGATTTTGAATGTCAAGATGAAATAATGGCGTATGAAACGATAATGTTGTGCATTTTAATGGCTTGTGTAATAAATTATATTGTGCGTATCGGGGGCTGAAAAATGTGATCGGCATTTTTGTCGGCGTATCGGGCCACAATTCCAGCGTATCGGGCCGATACGCACGTTTGTACGTGGGGAGAACCCTGCATTGTATACAACGTACGTACTGGTACATGTACTAAAAGACATCCACCGGTATAATGTTAGCAGGGTGCCCACAAATCAGGCAATGTACACCCACCGGATATCCCTATCACTAAAAGTACCAGCAATATACGGGTAGGATTTCAATGGTCCAGTAATTTTGGCTTCAATTAGACATAAAAAAAATATTTGTTTTTAAATCACTCACCATACATGTACATGTACAGGGTCTGAGGTGTAGGCTAGGCCCCTAAGGTAGCCTTTGTAGGGGGACCTTTTTGGTCAATGGGCATCCCTTTTTAATTCAGAATTTATAATGAGAATCATGGACATAAAAGGGACATAAAAGGGACATAAAAGGGACAACCAGGGGGCATGGACTTCGTGGAAGTGTGTAACAGTTTTAGTTACTAACAATAGGGTACTTTATAAGGTGTACGTGCACACACACATGTACCGTATATGTAATGTATGCACACTGATACTGTAAGCGGAAAATAGCCAACATCTGCTAGCCAGCCAACAACCCAGTCAGCAAGCCTTATGGAGGGAATTCAAGCTTATATTGTAATGTTTCATGGTAAATGTAAGTGGAGGTTAACCACTGAATGGTCTCCATTACATTTAGGCCTATAAATAAAATAAAATAGATTTAAAAAGTAAACGTTTAATCACTTCAAACAAATTCAGGAATAGCTTAAGTAATTTTTCACTGTATGAATTTCCTTACAAACCCTAGAGAGTTAAAGATAGTTATAAAGAATTACCAAAAGGACTACAATAGGGCCTATGTCTTAGAGTCAAAAACCAACATTTTAAGCACGACTCTCATTTTCCTTGATGATGGCAACAAAATTTTCTTCCAAAGAAAGTATGCAATCTCAAAATAATGTCGGTTTTTGGACTGCACTTTTTTTAATGTGTTTTGTTTTTATGCCTAGACCCTTCCCTCAACAGGTAATGCTTTCCATTTCTGCAAATTTTACCATTCTTCCCAAAATGCCTTAAACATGTGTCAACTGGCAAACTATAAAAAAAAGCTTTACTAAATGAGCTTTGATCATGAACTGGAAAAAGAAACTTTCCTACAAGAAAATCAGCAAAGAGAATGAAGAGATACATTGTACGACTTTGTCAATGAGCAATGTACATAGAATTTTTTGGACAGTACATGTACTTATTCCAAGTGGAAAGGTTTTTTTTTCCTAGAGACACATGTACTGCAAATTGTTTTTCCTTCTCTCCCTTGTTTGATTTTGGAACTTGGTATTCCTCCCTCTACAAATATACACTTTTATTGTTAAAATACTTTTTAGATGATCTGATTTTTTACTTGTTCTTCTCAAAAACTGTGATAGATTATTAGGATATATTAAATACATACTGTATGTATGTAAAAGTAATGCGCATGCCAAGTTTGTGCAGCCATACATGGAATAACATGTACATGTGTACTGCCTGCTCTGTCATCTTCTGCACTAGTGAGTGTAATATGTTTTGCAACGTACCAATATTTCCCATAGTAAAGGTATTAATGTATCATTCATGCAGATCTGCTCCCACCAAGGCCGAACCAAACCAGGGCTCTATATCATAAAGCTGCAACACAGCAGAAAATACTGCTTACTAAATTCATGTGACCAGCCCCAAAAAACAGCAGAAAACCAGGGAACAGCAGTTTTATCGCGTACAACATTACGGTCAGGTACCCTGTTTTGGCTAAGCATATTATTCCAGTCTCCAGCACAATTCAGATTTTGAGCGGCTCTTTGAAATCTCCCCCCTCCCCCTGTTAGCGCAAAGGCAATTGTCATGCTCAGTGATCCGGGGGGGGGGGGGGGGGGGGGGGGTTGTGTTGTGAGCATGAGAATTGCCTTTGCGCTAACAGGATTACAGCGGCAGCCCTGGTGACATGTTTGATTACCACATGAGGCAGAAGGGGGCAAAAAAAGTATTTTGTTAAAAAAAAAATGGATCTGTTTCTTTGCTCTATGGTATTCAAAGGGATATATGGACCATAATTTGCAAATGTCAAAAAACAAAAGTACCGAATTCGCATGACATCCCTTACTGGGCTGTTAGTGAATGACAGTAAAGCATCCTGTAAAATCATGGCACCTGGTGTGCTGTCATTTTCAAGAAAAGTGTTATTTTTGTAACGATTTCCAATGCTGGTCAGCCGACCAGCGTTGGGAAAAAAATGGTAATTTTCAAATACTGCCCCCAATTTACCATATTTAGTTCTAGTCCGCATTTGGTTTGCAATGGATTACACACAGTGTCAGTACACCTATGAACAGGTACAAGCCAGCTAGACTAGTTTCCTGACCTTCAAATCCCCCCATGTCTATAAATTGCTCTGTTTCATCTTAAATGGGGCCAGGGAACCAGCCTACAGAAACCTGATTGTTTTTCTTGGTTTTCCGGCATCTATGAACACAAAACATCAAACCAGTCAGGGTAACAATATTTGCTATAAAATATTACCCCCCCCCCCCAATCCATCCATTTCTGACAATTATTTGCAAATTCGAATGTTGTATATTCCCTTTAAACACAGCCAAATTTCTTTAGAAAACAAGTGATTGATCAGTTACAGATGTCATAGCATGATGTTGATATGACGTTATTATTAATCCAGCTTGAAACTTGATATATTTTACTTTAAGTAGAATGTCTGGGTGATAGATTGGTTCGCTCAGGGTAAACATGTACAATGTAGGCAACCTGTTACATGTACGTGTACAGCAGGATCTCAGTAATGATTTTTATGTTCAACCTTTAAAGATGCTGAAATACCCCAGTACCATGCTCATCTCATGATCAAAAGCACCCAGGCCCTGTGTAACTATTAATAAACACAAATGTACACAGTACACATGTTGTATGCATATGACAGGTTTGTTCATTAACTTCTTACCAGACACAGTCTACCTAATCACAAGTGCATTAAGGTGTATTAATCAGCTGATTGAATTCTACACATGGTGTTACAACAAGGCTGAATCATTTGCTTCACAAGCTTGCTAGTGTTATTCCACACACTGTGTGCACAATGTACATGTACATACTGTGTGTCCTTGTCAATGAACTGAACAAACAATACACTAGATTTCAAAGTATACATTATGGAAAAAATGGTAGCTTGGTTATCTCAAACAAATTGTGTACACTGTTACTACACACAGTATTTCACAATGTACCAGTAAGCCCTTGTGGAAGTGTCAATAGTAATCACAATGTGAAAACAATTTTCACATAAATTTTGATGAGGATTAAGCATATGAGCCACATTTAATTTTATTTTTTAAATGGCCAGAGTGTGCACTAAAGGTACTTTTGTAAAGTCCCCATTACTCATAATCAATGGCATATCAAGTGGGATAGCCAGTACTACCATAAAGAAAGGCAAAACAATGATATGTTGCCTTTTGTAGGAAAAAGCGCCCGCAATTCACAACTTTTACTCAACAGGCACCCTCACCCTATTCTGAAAATTTGGGACTCTCAGTCTTAATACTGTGTATGAGAGTGCAAAACATGCAACACAAGAAAATAGACTGGCACACTGTAACCAGTCCAACACCCTTTTAATTAATAAGTACTGTATTGATCAACTGTGTCAAAATAAACATCTGGTACAGGTCTGTATTTCTTCACATCTCTCCATAGTCTGCCACCAGACTATTAGTACTGAAGAGGTCTTTTCAAATAGTTGGACATATACATGTACATGTACCTCTCTAGTCTTAGGCTTCAAATTGAAATAACTTGGCTTCTCTCAGGAGCAAAAAATAGAAGGGGAAAAGTCTCCTTCCAAAATTTAATTGAGCATTCTCGAGACGTCAAACTTGGCATGTAAAAAACTGAGGACCTTGTCTTTGCCTCAAAAAAAATTTGGAAAATCTTGTCTGCCAAGAGTGAGAAAAATTGGCCTGAATTTGCTTTGCATGTTTTTCGGCACTCAAGGACCCAGTCTGCCCTAACCCTTTTCTAAACCTTTTATGGGACAAAATTTGGGGTGCCAAAAATACATACTGGTACTAGACACACCACTGGTTAGTAAACTACGTTGATATTAATTTTAACTTCAAAAAAATTCTAGTTTGACTCACCTGAATCAACAATGGTGTCTTGAAGCAAGACTACAAGCTCAGGATGTCTCTCCACATGGCCATTCTCAACAGAGGCCAACTTCAGTATAGACTCCACACCAGCTGCCAAATCGGCCCACACCAACAGGCCGTAATTGAGCAGCGGCTCCTCAAGCCAAGACTTGAAGATGCTGGGGTCGACGTCAAAAGACACTGTCGCGCCGCTCTGGCAACTGCTGTAGTCTATAGTGACGTCTTTCTGAATGAAGGGAGCGGTAGCATCCCGGCCAGTTGTATCAACCCCGCTGACCCACCACACACCACCTTCCACATTTCTGACGGATGAAGTTACGTAGGTCTGGTCCCACGGCAGAAGAAGTTTTGATATCTTAAGCACTCCCCTGAAGACACTGGTTGTAACATCGGCAATTGAGTAGTCCGCCACATTCACGCATGATAATCTGAGAGTGACGTTACTGATAACAGAGCGGTTTAAGTTGGGGAAGCTACTCTCCGCTCCCCATGCGCTGCTCCGCAGAAATTCATCGGGGTCGAACTTCAGTAGGATTCGGCTGTCTCGTCCGTCGTATCGGTGGCCGACTTCTAGATAGTCTTTCTGGAAGAGTGAAGGGTTGTTCATGTCCCCGTGAATATATGTGTCTTGTGTGGGGGCCAAGCAGTAGGTCCGCTCGTGATAAACCAACGCCGAGGACTTCAGTGTCAGCAATAATGCCAGGACAACTTGGGGATATGGATACTGCATGTTGACACGAACGATTCCTCGTGGCATTGTGGACTCTGTATATTCTTCACTTCAACTCCATTAAAAATAGTGTAAACAGAATGCTAAAGACCGGAACAAAACCACTGTCCAAAGAAAAATCAACTAAGATGAGTCGGTGCCAAAAGTTGCTTTTGTCCAGTTAATGACCGTAAATTTTGGCAGCGAGCAGCATGTTGCATGACATCAGTACTGGGAAGCAGTCTGGGAAGACTCCAGTGTTTAGGAAATCCTCCTCGCAAGACGTGGAACAACACACAGCCAATCTACTCTAAGAACACCAGTCAACACTGGTTTGCAATTGGCACGATTGCGGTCAAGCTCCAGTCAAGTACTGACAGCCCCCGTCCACTGCCAACAGCCTTTTCATGATTGCGGTACGCCCCAAGCCGTATACAACTTCCCTTGTCGGTGTGGCTAAGTCAAACCACTAGGCAAGGGAGCTGGGGGCAATTCCGTGGTGTGATGTCACACATCTGCCGATACATAATGAAGTGGAGAGATGCTGGGAGCTCAACAGCTGATATCATCTGCATTATGAAACACATCCTGTCTGCACTGTTATTAAGTCTTGCCATTGCATACTGTGCGCACTGCAAGAAAAACAAAAAACAAAATTGCAATTCGTACGCCCAGGGATCGTGAGAATGGCAAACAGGACAATTCTTTCTAACAAGAAATTCTAAATTGGAGTCTGGAATTACAAAATGTATCTAGAGAGCTTGCCCAGAGCTGCCTCAATGTGAACACATTTTTTTAATCTAAATTCTGTGACACTAAAAATGTCTTCTCAAGCGTAAGGCAAAAAAAAAAAATATTTGGTCTCTGGTCAGACCAAAGTTCCGGAATTGACGCAGGGACGCGGCTTTTGGGGTTTTTTTTTTTTTTTTTCTTCAAGCTTGGATTGTACAGACAAGGTGGGGTACTATTTTGCTTTTTTGGTGTCCTCATGTACATTGGTGTCCTCCATAATATGCTTTGGTGCTCTCGATCATTTGCCTTGGTGCAATTTCCCATTCCTTGGTGCTCTTTGGTAAAAAAATTGAGGAGGTGCGGCAATAGAGGGACGCTGTTGGAGCTACAGGGGAACATTTTGAGAAAAAAAAAAGATTGACGCGCATGATTAAAATCGACGCGCGCGCTGACCAGAGACCGACTTTTTTTCTTTTTTGGCCTAACACAGAGGAACATAAAATATAGACCTGTCCTGATTGAGAGCACTTTGTCTACTAGAGGCATGAGAATGAATTTCAATGAAAAGAAAACAGGAAACTTATGGAAAAACAGGAAAAAGATGTGAGATCAGGCAAAAAAGCCACAAAACAGGCTCAAAATAAATAAAAACACGGAAATTTGGGCAAAAAAAACAAAAACAGGAATTCTTGTTTAAACAGAAGATTCTCATGCCTGATACTACATGTGTAATTCTTCATTGCATTTGAAGTACTTGTGCATTTTTAATCTGCAATGCCGATTACAGCTAGCAGTAGAAATTTGTCATCCGTGAGTGATGATTGATTTGTATCCCTTTCAGTGGGGGAGGGGGTGCCTAGTGCTCGTGACTCAAAGGGTCAGCAGTTCGAATCCAGCTGCAGGCTGCTGGCCATAAAATTATGTTGTGATCTTGAGCAAGCCACTTCACCCGAAATTGCTCCACCCAGGAGCATAAATGGGTACAGGCATTAGCTGGGGAGTAACCTGCGATGGATCGCAATGGGGGAATGGAAATATTCTCAGTCGTTTCATCAGGCGCGGTTCTAGAGCCAATATTTTTGGGGGGCTAGCAAGGTGGATCCAGAATTTTTTCAGGGAGGCGTGCTGAAATGTAGACCGGTTATTGTCTTCGGACACTTACGCCTCTGAAAATCAATAAGGTGGGGGGGGGGGGGTGGGTCCTGCCATATTTTCAATGGGGAGCGCTGATAAAGTCCTACAATCAGGCACACTATATTAACTAAAAGTGCACAAATGCACCCTTCTCATTTAGGGGGAGACCGTTCCCATGTACCTCAAATTGTTACATTTTGCTAGTGCATTCTTTTTTATTGAATCTATTTTGGGGGGGGGGGCTAGACAAAATTTTGGGGGAGCCCCCCCCCCCCCCCAAAAAATTAGCGTTTCATTCCAAAGTTCGTAGAAATAGCAACATCGTTTTTTAGAAGAATTTGTAGACATATCCAAAAAATTTGAGGCAACTTTTGTCTCTATTTGATCATAAAAAATCCTTAAAAAGAATGAATTTTAGACAGTGAGTGGTCAACAATTAGAAGTTGGAGAACACTTTATGATTATTTAACATATGGGGCCTTACACCGAGAGTATCGTACCAGATGGATGTATGAACCTTACATTTGACAAAGACAGCCACCAACAGACCACATTTCAAAGTGTGACACTTAATTTACTAAATTAACTTTTATTGACACAACTGATAATTCGTACATGTATGTGTTCAGTTTCTAGGAAGTGTTTTAGGCACAATAAAGGCACAATACTTGTGACAATTAGCTTGATTCACTCCAGCTCTAATGCATTGGCATTAGAGCTGGAGTTACTCAAGCTATGAAAATGCTGTTTAAATTAAACTTGGTAATGGTAATCATGTAGTTTAGGACACCTCTATTGCTTTAATGTTTGCTTTAATTAATTGCTTTAAGTACATGTACCATTCACATTAAAATCAAAACCCTGCCCTCTTTCCACAAAATTTAGCTAGCTGATATTGGTATAGGCCCAGCAAACTAATTTAAATTATTCCAAATAAGTGACTTTTCCCGTTGTATCATCACCAAATGTAACGTGCAAGTATTTTTTTAAAATTTTTTTAATATGGAACAGTGTCCTAAACTACAAGATTACCAAAAACATAAACTATATACTTAAATTTAAAATCAATATTTAAAATTTATACCAAAATAGCAAAGTTCATCAAACTAATGATGATCTGGCAATACATGCAATAGCAACAGCCTAGCTCTGAGTGTAGCGTTGAATTACGGGTACCCCTCCATACAAACGGGGTACCCGTAATTCAACGCTCCACTCAGTCATTTCAGTAGAGCTAGCAACAGCAATATGACAGTATTACTTAAATTTAAACTTCGGACATGTCTGACCACAATTGTACAAACTTTAAACCTATTGTCACTTTTGTCAGCTATTAAAATCTATTAAGTTAACACAGCAGAGGATATGCGCGGCTAAAATAACACGTCCTAAAATAACGTGTTCAATCGCCTAGCTACGTACGTACGCCGTGTTCCGACATGCCCACGGACGGTACCGCGAGTATACCGCGGCGTCGGTAGCGTACGGCCGGCCGGCTACTTACCGGGTAACTGTGCGTGCGTTACATGATGTAGTTTCGTGTACCACTACTCAGCCGCCAAGCGTTTCAAGTCCTGATCCTTTACTGCCCAAATCCTATGCAAAATCAGTTTTATCGTCAAAGGAATTGTACCTCTTCCTTGCAAACCACAGTAAAAGCACGCAAAGTATTCCACTTTTCACGCAAACGCTCAAGATTGTTAAATTAGTCTGGTTCACATCGCCACGCACACTCAATAAGTACCGCAGCAGTTCAGTACAAGACCACTGCTTGCAGTTGATTCATCCAAAGTTTTCTGAAGTTTTAGGTGGAGAGTACTCATCGATAGAGGGGGCACTCTACGTTACGCGTACGCAAGTATACCATAGTTGGAGTTTGGTAAAGGCAGCCACGGTTATCTTCAGTAGTTCGAAATTTATTCGGATATTGGTTGCATTTATCTGTGACGGGAGAAAAAGTGAGTAAATAATGTCAATGATGATCGTGAACTGGACGTTGTAATTGAGGCGCTAGAAAATAGAAGTATTTTTTCCTCGAATTTTAACTTTAATCGGTCGCTAATATTATAAGTATTCGATCCGGCACCAATGACAAAGTTAAAAAAAAAAAAAAAAATGGGGGGGGGGGAGGAATCTAGCGCCTCAGTTACTGCCATACTTGGCTGGTTCTAAGTTATCAATAGTGAACATACATTGTAGTACACCGAATAACATTGGACTTCAAGCTTCAGGAATTATATATGCAACTATGCCATTAGATCAAACGACAAAACAAATGGTAAAATACGGTTCAATTTTTTTTAAAAATAAACTTGACCAATTTAGCTTTCAAAATTGATTTAATAATTACATTGTCTTAATTCTCAAGGAAATCCTGTTTTTAACTTAGTTGAACACTGAAAATACATCAATTGGCAAATTCCTTGATAAGCCCAGAGAATATGACCAACATATCGTTTTCAACTCAGTGGCGGGAGAACAAGTGATTAATTTGATGGCAGCGATGCACACCAGCCTGAACAATCACTGTAACAATTCCTAATATTTCATTAAGACAGTCTAAAATAATTGTAACGTCACTCCATCACCTCTGCTGCCCCTCCCTCGTCTCTGCCACTTCCACTTTCTCCCCCCCCCCCTCCAGTGCCTCTTTCTCCAGTGTAGCCTCCGAAACCACTGCCACATTATTTTGCCTAGGTCAACCTCCATTACCTTCACTGCATCAGATTCTACTGCGTCCTTCATAGCCTCGACAGTCTCCATTGCCTTTGATGCCTCCCTTGACTTCATCATATCCTACAGGGCCTCCTTCACAGTTCTCCTCTGCCTCATGCTCTTCTTCCCCCATTGCCTCCAAGACCTCCACTTCTATCCCCTCTGCCACCTCCTCCATAACTTTATGGTTTACATTGCCTCACAGCCACCACAACTTCCGCTGCCCCCATTAATTGCCTTTGTCATGTACAGTATCTCCACTGTCGTCATCCTCCGGATCCGCTGCCTCCTCCATTACCTCCATTGACTTTGTCACCTCCATTGCCATCGTCACTTCTGTCACCTCCATTGCCTCTGTCATCTTTGCCAAGTCTCCTCAGTCCCCTTCGGTGCCTCCACTGCACCTCGCCACCACCACAGTGACTGCCCCCCTTGCTGCCTCTTTTGCCTCTGCTGCCTTTGACATTGCTGTCTCCTCTGCCACCTCCTTGCATCTGCCACATCTGCTTTACCTCCCCAACCTGCCTCGCCTCTTGAGAGCTGACACGAACACCACTAGACAACCCGTAAGGTTTCAATTTTTATCACACATTGTCAATCAGTGAATACGTGTATAATACACTATGTAAAATACGCATGTCATTTTCACATTTTATTCTAATAAATATTAGTGCTCACTGCTCAACGTCTTACAGCACTGAGTGATAATAGGCAGGAAATCCGGACAACTGATAATCATATTTTTTTCAGATTATTATTGCATTCATGAGACTTTCACAAAAGTTAAGTGGAATTTCAAAATTGTAGCACAATAAATATACAAGTAGGCCCTAGTTATTAAACAAAATCCAATATCGCCCCTGCAGGGGCGATATTGGATTTTGTTACAGGGCCCTGTAACGAGCTTCAACAGATTTCTTCAGATTAATTACATTATAAATCTTCAAATCTGCCAGGTGCCCCTGCTCCATTGCTTCCATCTTCTCCATGGCCGGCTACCTCAGTTGCCTTTGTCTCCCCACCCCTCCATTGCCTCTGCTGCCTCCATGTCCTCTACCCCACTACCTCTGCCACTCTTTTTTGCATCCGTTGACTCCGATAGCTTTGCCAACTCCCCAGCCTTCATCACCAGCCAATCCTCACCATCCATCACCTATGCTTCCTCATTTGCCTCTGTTAAACCCATCACCTCCTTTGTCTTCTGCATCACCTAAATCACTGCCTTCATCACCTCTTTAATCTCCATGGCTGCCTATGCTGCCTGAAAAGGGAAAAGAAAAAGAGAGAATATCTGTCAGAAATACTGACAGTGCCTCCTCCATCCCTTCGAGTGCCTTTGGTGCCTCCGCTGCTTCAGTTGGCTTGTATCACTGCCTCCTTCACCTTCTCTGTCTTTGTTGGTTTGGTTGCCATCACCTCCGCCACCACCTCCATCCTTGTGTTGCCTCCCCTGCCTCTGTACTGCCTTCTTGCCTCCGCTGCCTCAGCCACAACCTTTACCCCCTCCTCTGTTCCCTCAGTGCCCTGTTTCCTCGAATACCTCCATGCCTGCTTGAAAAAAGAACATCTGGGCAGCTATTCTGATGATATTGTCTTCACTTTCCCTGAGGCCGCCATTGTCTATGCTACCTTGCCTCTGTTGCCTCTTCAGCTTCCATCACCTCTGCCAGCTTGCCGCCTCCATTGCCTCCATTGTCACCTGTTCCTTGCATTGCTGTACCACATCTGCAGCCTCTTCTATCCCTTTTGGTTCCTCTGTTTCTTCCACTACCATAGTTACATGTGGTGCTCTGACTCTTTGCAAACTTTATTCAAGATGACTTATCACAATGATAACTCAATGAGGTAGTATTTTCTGTGATAGCAAATAAAAAGGAAGCGAACCAATCAAAATGAAAGTATAAAATATAAAAATGAAAGTATAAAATATAAAAAACAATGAAAATATAATTAGTGTCGGGGAAATATTTAGGCCTTTATTGGTTTTGCCATTTGCCAACATATTTCATAAACACTCTGTACTCAGTTTAATTAGATTATTACACAAAAACATTAAAAAAAGTCTGTCTCCTGCCAATTAGCAGTAGAGTTTTGCAGTTTGAAGAAATCAATCACCAAACTGACTGTGTTTTTGGTTACCTCTGTCACCTCTGTTGCTCCCACCACCTCCTTCTTTAATTGTCACACCCATTGCCACTGCTGCCTCCACATTCACAAGTTGCTGTCACCCCCGCATCAATCATTTCTGTCACCCCTGCCATGTCTGTCACCTTCTCCATATCCTTCATCACCTCTGCGCTTCCGTTGCCTCTGCCATTGCTAAAGCCTTTTTCTCCTGCATCAGCTTGTCACTGTCACTTCCATCACCTCTGTTGCATCCGCTTGAAAAAAATATCTAAAATCGTGCAGCAATGCTGACATTACCTCCTCTGTTCGTCCATTTCCTCCTTTGCCTCTACTACCTCATATCCCTCTGTCAACTTCACCACCATAATGCCCTGTATGGACTCCATTTGCCTCACCTCTGCCATCTTCTTTGTCCCTTTTGTCACCTGTGTTTAATACCCCTGCCTCCGCCATCTTGTCACCTCCCTCGATTCTGTTGCCTTTGTGGACCCTTCCACTTTGTTGCCTCCACTGCCTTTGCTGCCTCTACATTTTCCGTTGAGTACGCCCCTCCATCATCACCTCGCAGTTGCCTCTTTTGCCTCCATTATCTCTGCCGCACTTTTGTTGCCTCTGCCGCCGTTTCTTTTCAGGCCTCCATTTCATCTGCTCCCCTCAGTAACCTCCTCAACCCCCAGTTCTCTGCTGCCTGTTTCCTCTGCTGCCTCCAACCCCTCTGTTGCCTCTGCGGCTTCCATCACCTCTGCCAGTTTGCCTCCTCCGTTGCCATCTGTTGCCTGCATTGCAACCTCTTCTATCCCCTCCATTTCCTGTTACCTCCACTGCCTCAGTTTAAATAGTGCTCTGACTCTCATAAAACTCATTCAAAATGATGACATCACAATGATAACACAATTAAGGTAGTAAAGTACATGTATTTTCTGTAAAAAGCAAATAAAGAAAGCAGACCAATCACAAAATCTATTCCAAACGAAGTATTTTGATGTTATCAGTGATATACAGTGTATCATGGCAGTTATCTGAACAGCACATCATTAGTGTAACAAGAATGTGTAGACACTTAAAATATAATTCGTGTAGGGAGATTTTTATATAGGGTTTTGCCATTTGCAGACGTTTTTCATAAACACTGTGCAGTCGGTTGAATATGCATCTTTTTTTACATAAACACCTATGAACGAATGTGAATTAATGTTCCCTGTTACCTCTGCCTTGTCGGCTCTATTGCTTCCCCACTTCCACCACCTCCTTCTTTGCCACATCCATTGCCACTGCTTCCTCCACATTCACAAGTTGCCGTCACCACCGCATCAATCACCTCCGTCACCTCTGTCATGTCCTTTGCCTCTGCCAGTTCTGAAGCCTTTTTTCACCTTCGCTGTCACTGTCACTTCCATCACTTCTGTTGCCTCCGCCTGTAACTAAAATATCTAAAATCATGCAGCAAAGCAGACACCACCTTCCGTCATTTTCCTCCTTTGCCTCTGCTACCTCAGATGCCTCTGTCAACTACAGTGCCTTTAAATAGTTGCCTGTATGGACTCTGTTTGCTTCGCCTCTGCCATCTTCTTTGTCCCTTTCGTCACCTCTTTCAACTCCGCTGACTCCCTACAATGCCTGTTTCACCTCCTCTGCCACCACCTGAAAAAAAAAAAAATGAAAATCATCCACCAAGAAATGGTGGACACCACCTCCTCTTCTGTCTCTCCTCCAGTGCCTCCCCTGCCTTAGATGATTCCTTTGACTATGCTGCCTCCACAGCTGTTGCTCTACCAACTCTGTTGCCTCCATTCGCTCTGCCAGCTTTTGTCCTTCATATCCCCTGTCTCCGCCACCACCTCCTCAATTACCTCCATTGTCTCCCTTTGTCTCTGCCAAATTTCTAGCCTATGTTGCCTTAGCCGTTTGTCCATTTTTGCTGTGCCACCTGTTGCCTCTGCCACCAACTGTAATACTTCTTCTATCCCCTATGTTGCCTGTTGCCTCTGATACCTCCATTTCTCACGTCACCCTACAGCACCTTAGCCTCCCCTGCCATCTCCTCCCTCGCAACCACCTTCTCTCCTGCTCTTGCAACCACTGCCGCCGGCCAAATCCACTACCATTCACTACCACTGTCATAAAATTGAAACCACTGGATAACTCAATAAGGTTTCAAGTTTTCTTGTTTCCACATATTGTCCATTTGAAAAATAATGTCAGTACTCTGAAAAAATTAAGTTATTCATTTTGAAATTATAGCACAA